TTCTGCTTAAGACCAGCCCTGGGACGGTTTCTGCCTACTGAGAGTCCTTGACTATAATGGCATGTGATGGGACGCATGTGCAAAGAGAGGAAGCACAGCCAGTGTTCTTTGATGTTCTTTGGTCGGCAGCCGGAAAAGGTTTGCTGCTTAGATCCTTTCCTGTCCAGTCTCGTATGGTCTTTGCCACGCCCACATCCAAGCCGCGGCATCCGGAGGAAGGTCAAAACCGCCAATCGATGTACTTCAATACTGGCGCAGAGGACAGCCAAGTGACAGGCGCGGAAGACACGAAAGCTCCGAGTCCGGTGTCTTTTGATTTGGACTGACTGACGGGCCCTGCCTGGGCTGGCCCTCGTGTCGTTCTGACCGGTGATCGGAGCGCGGAGCGCACGTTTCGTGGGATTTCAGGGCGTGGCATTGGACCCCACGGCGCTGGGCACAGGGCACTAAGACCATGTCGTCACCATTGAGCATTCCCAGACACGACCCGTCTGGGACTGCCATAGGACTGCAGAAACGGCCCAGGGGTGGTTGACTGGGGGTCAATTGATTGGCATATATGGCAGTCCCATGGAGTGTCGGGCATTGAAGCAGTGGCAAGGGGTGACTAAGGGAACAACCCGAGCCACCCGAGCCGTACTATAGTCGTCCCTAAATCCCAGCCCCTTCAGCAACGCATAGGCTTTGGCGGCCACCGCTTTTTATCGTTTCACGGTGGAGAGGCCTTTTTCACGCCATTGAGCCCGCTTCGTTCGGAAGACGCGAGTGGGTCCAGTCATGATTGGTCCGCCGCCGCCCTCTCCGTGCGCCATGGGCGCAGGTGAGTTGGGCGGCGTCCTTCAGTTTGCCGAACAGGCCGGCCACGGAGCGTGGAACGGAGACGCATTCCCAAGCGGCGACGCCGACTGGAGGGGGTTTGGGTGACGCCGACTGGGGGGGTGACTGGGGTGTACCGAGGTGACTTTAGGAGTCTTTTGTTGTTTGCGTGGCATTTCTATATTGCGAAAGATATCCCTTGGAGTTAGACTTCAAACGATGCTGAGATATGCTGAGGGATATCCAGAGAATTCCCGAGATAATCCCATGGAATGGGGATGCTGGTCTATTTCACACTGAACACTCTCTCCTCCTGGGTCAACTTCCTGGGTCAGCCCCCGTCTACCATCTATTCCCACACCCAGACCGCCCGTCTCCGAGGTGGCCAAGACCTTCGCTTTGTCCAACAAGCTCCCGGAGGGCACCGGCGTTCGGGTGCTCTTCACCGACTTCGGCGCTAAGAGCTTGGTCGCCACGCGATGGAACCCGCTCCCCGAGAACCTGACGCTGGGGCGAAGGTTCCGTCACGCGTGCGCTGGGCCGAGTGGAATCCAAGTGAAACGGCGAGAAGTTCGAGCGAGAGGGACAATGGGAGGGGGCCTGTGATGGTGTGGTGGTTCCAAGGACGAAAAGACCATGTGTATCCTTGTGTCACATGTGTGATAATGTAGACTCTTGATTAATAAAGCACCCAATTGAAGTGGAACATCCTCTTCATATGGGGAGTTTATTAATCAAGAGCCTCAAGAGTCTACATAAATGATGTTGGAGTGATCATTTTTGTTTCAACACGTTTCAACAAAATGCAGAACGCCATAGCAGTAGTCATGTGGACAGAGCAGTACAGTAGACAATGTTTAAATCCCTGGAGTGGCAGTTGTTCAGGAGTGCAGCAGACAAAACATGTAGAACCTGGCCACCAAATGGGTATTGCAATAAGTGAATCAAGTTCTTCTGCGCTCCACTTGGCAATGCACCGTTTCTTTATGTTTGGTGCGAGCCTTTCTGTCTCAGCCTGCTGGGAAGCAGACGAGTTGCCAACGAAGCGGAAGCAGACCGAGGTGACCGAGTTCGGGATGGGATCCCATCTTCTCTCTCGATCCATAGGGTCTAGACATTGGACAGGGACCATTGGATGGGGTGATGGAAGGAGCGCTTCCGGACGAGTTCGCACGTCGCACCGTGCGTTTGCCGGTTCCGGCCGAGGATCCTGGATCACTTGCCGCCGGTGCTCCCCAAGCGTGAGCTGCGCATGGAGGAGCGAACGAAGCTCAGCGAGATGTGCGAGTCCTCTGTGATGCTCGTGCCGTGGCTGCCGTGGCTGCCGGGGAGGCGGAGATGGATGAAGGGAGATGGATGAAGCCCTAGGGCTCCAACTATATCCTCAGAAGGTGGTTAGACCCCCCAAACCCACCCCAACCACCTTCTCAGGGGGTGGTTGGAACCCTAGGGGGAGATGGTGGAAAGACCTTGCATGTCTCTGCATGGCGTCGTTGTTTTGGGTTCCCAATTCTACTGTCACCCACTTCTAGGGCCTAGGGCTTTGCTTGGCCATGACCTTTTGGGTGGTGCAAAACCAGAGAGATTTACTCGCAAGACCAAAGAAAACATGAAGCTGTTCTCTGTCAGCCATCTGGGAATCTGCAAGCCAGGTGTGTAAATACAAATACACTTGCTTTGGAACAGACGACTGACCATCGTGTTAGAGTATTGGACCGTACCTCTTGGCTGCATTGATGGCATCGACTTCCCACCGACTTACGTCGCGGAGGTTGGTGGCTTTGTTCCACCGCCTTGGTCGGTCGCGGTCGACCCGATGCTCAGGTGGTGGCACCCAACCAATCCGAGATGGCAGCGGTTCTGGGGATTTTTGATGTGATGAAAGACCTCGGGAAGAGCCTTGGGCAGAGAGGTCCTGAGGTGTCAGGGTGGTTCAGCGGATGCTCGCCGCTGCGAGCGTGTTCCCTTTCCGCTGAGGGTGTGAGGGCCAAAAGAGTTGTCCTCAGAACTCACAGAGATCTTTTGGGGTGATGCTCAAGAGCAAGAAGAGCAGTCAAGCTTTATCCAACCATGGACCATGGCGGGCGGTGATCGGTTTGTTTTGTTTTTGGTATTTTTCAAGCGGCTGTGAAGTGAAGGTCCTGGATAGTCTTGGTGTCCTGGATAGTCTTGGCCTGGTTCGGTCAAAATGTGGCAGACAAAAGTATATAATATAGAACTTGATGGACTTGGAAAAAACATATGCTTGTTCGCCGTTCAGGATGTTTCACACAGATGTTAATTACCAGATGTTCCAAGAGAGTAGCGGTTGTTGATCGGTTCCATGTCTTCAGACGGATGCACATCCGCGGATGCACATAGAACAAGGTCCATCAACTGCACATGGAAGGGCAACAGTTTGAACACATGGGTCACCATCAAAATCTTAGCGTTCATCATTCATGTACAAAGTTCGCTATAGTGAGTGAGAATGTTACGTTTTCTTGGCTGCGCTGTGTTGGTCTTACAAAGCAGGTCGCAGAAGTTACACAGCTTAGCCAGGAAGACTTATGTGCGCGTATGTGCGCAGGAAAAGGATCCAGTGGCTCGGATCGTGTGTGTGGCATTTCGAGGTTCTATGTGTCAAAGAATCACGTAATCTATTACGCCGCTGTTGGAAGTCAGGACGGGCCCTGGGGGAAACATCACCATGTCTCACTGGATGTTTGCAAGTACACATCAAGATCCCTGATGACGTCCTGGCTGAAAGCAATAGGTTCTTTCCTTTCCGAGGCTTTCGTCCCAGTGTTTGACTGAACAGCTAGGCTCCCAGTGTGAGATGTCCCAGTCTGGGATACATGGAAGGGTGGCAAGCATGTTCTGGTTGATTTGACCTTTCAATGATCCAAACACACGCCTTCTGACCAGCACGATTTAAAATGTTCAGTTCCAGAAGGTGGTCAGAAGGCAAGTTGGGAGTCAATTCAGTCCAAACAGCCCGTCCTCAAATTCTGCAGTTTGGAAGCAGTTTCAATCAGCAATCGTTTTTGCACCTGTTCCTGGCCACCCAAATAAAGAGGCGGATTGCTCTTCAAAGGTGTTTTCCTCTAAGGGGCCTTTGGAGGATGGGATGGGGATGGCAGTACGTGACGTGTCTGGAGTGTTTAAACAGTTTTGTGACCAAACAACACCAAGCTCTTGGGAAGATACAAGGTATCCAAAGAACGCCTTTTGGCGGAGCTCAGCCTCGGATTTGTGAAAAACCAAACGGCAGAGGATGAAAAAACGTCCCGAGTGAGCTGCCACATGCCTTTTGTGTTAACCCCCCGGTCTGCAAGGCCACTGATATGGAGTTTCCTCTCAAAAACTCGAAGGCTTGTTCCAGGATCTGTTCCTTTTGTTGGTCTCATGTGTGGATGAAGAGAACCGACTAAATTTGAAGACGGAGGGGAGTGACATACTAAGCCCTCCCTCCAGGGTTTCGAAGGGGACAGAGACTTGGACGACGGACTCACTGAGGAAAGTGCCCGTGATCTTGCTGAATGCCAAGTTGGTCCAGGAAGACATGCAGAGACCATGGGAAGTGTTGGCACCTCTCGAAATTTGTGTCCTTTTTTGGGGGGAGGGGGGACAGGCGGGTCCAATAACATTAGGCACCTCTTGCCATCTCTGGGATGCTGTTTAGCCACAGGAACTGTTTATGTTTAGCCTTCACACACACAGGGCGCCCGGCTCGCCAGAAGAACTCGCATGAAGAAACACTCAGGCGTTGCAAGGAGAAGGAACACACCATGGATTTAGATGGTACAGAACAGATGGAACGCCACCTCTGAAGAACGTCACTGCATCCCAGAACGTCACCGCACGGGTGCCCCGTCTGTCACCTGCATGCTGTTCACAGCAATCTCATGAGTACATAGCCCTGGGGTTGTTCAAAAAACCGAAGGACTGACGTATGACTGACGTATGACTGACGTATGGGTCCTCAAGCGGATTTCAACGTCGACTTCCGAACGACAAGTTTGTTTGGGACCTGTGACCTGATTTGATGTAAGTAAACACGCACATGGAGAGCATCGGTGCGGACTCTGCTGACTCTGACTCGATCGTCCCATGTGTGGGGTGATGGTGCGTCATGTGCCATGGTGGTGCGTCCCACCTTTTCCTGACACCAAGAATTGGCACAGTTGCACGCAACATGCATTGAAGCGATATGCAGACTTTGCTGTGGAGAGAAGTGCATCCTCATTGTTGGTTCTCTACTATAGAGCCTCATAAGGGAGTCCTCAGAATGAAGCACAATCGAAAAGCACAAAACACAAACATGAAAATATAAACATTTAAAGCAACACAAACATGAAAAGCATCAATCGAAAAGCACACACATGAATCAAATCGCAAAGAATCATATCCCTTCCTTTTCGGCTGTCCGGCCTCTTCCCGGGGCCGCCGATCCGTCGTCTTTCGTTGCAGACGACGGACCACACACAGCAATACATGCTGCACAGCGCCCATCGCGGTGGGTGGTGTGCACCAGGACACTGTGGCCTTAGCAGGTGTGATGCTGAATAAGTTTCGCGCCTTTGAGAGCACCTTGCTGCCAGTCTTCCACTTGGAGCCTCGATGATCCTGCCGGTGTTTTTTTTCTCGCGCGCGATTCCGGGCACGTGGCGCGCGATCCGGCACTTGGTGTCATTCAGTCACGGTTCCCCTTGCCCGAGGCAGGGCGCTGCTCGGAGGGCTAAGACAGATGCGATCAGTGATACATCCTTCTAGTGGGATGCCGTGAAATCTGGAAGGTTCATGATGTCCCAAAGGAGGTCGACATCGATAGATTCATTTTACTTTCTTTCCGGCAGTTGGGCCTGGAGCCGCAGAACAAGGCCAGGGTGTTCAAGTGGCCAAAAGCTCATCAGAAATATGCCCTCTCTGATGACGGCACAGGTCATAAGAGGTCGATTGTTCATTTTCCCGCACGAATTGGACATGAATAATATATATATATATATAAACGAATATGATCTCAATCTTCAATATCTTCATGACACGTTCGATGAGCATTTCGATGGACAACCGGTGTTCACTCGCTGTTTTGCAACTCAGAAAGCAACGAATCATTTTCCCACTCACCCACTGGAGAACCCAATCAACTAGAACCTGCAACCACATCTAAAAACTACATACAACACTAATACCCAAGGACCCGACAGGGCGTATATACCCCCGATGGGGCTTTGTCCTCCCGCAGCCAGAATCGATTGATTGTGCTTGTTCTGTTCCAACAACTCAGCATGGTGTTGTTGAAATAGGTCTCATCAATGATCAACAGGGCTGCTGATGAATCAGGCAGCAAATATTGTACGATTTCACTGTTGCTGTCTCCAGATTGAGTTCGGGGTGGTTGAAGAACATCAAGCCTGTTGGTGATCTTGCCAGTTTGAGCCTTCACGCCTGACTGCAGCCTTAAAGATTAATTAAAGATGCCATTTCATGGGGGTTCAGAAGCTTCGCCCTCGAGATATATCGATTAGCTGAATGGATCCTGAAAGAAGCCACACCCATTCCCACACGTCGCACCATCTCGATTCTCGATTCTGGCATCCCCAGGAGCAATTTGACCCCGACGACGACAAGGACGTCCGACCTGGTCCGAGCTCCGACGGGAATCTGCAGGTTGCTACCATTTTTGCTGGTGGTTCATCTCCGAGACCCAGGCATGCTTAACATAGAACCAGCTACTGGCAGCAGACATTCATACTTTTAAACTCATCACCCTGAGCAGAGACAAGGGCAATGACGCTCAGCCTATTTGGCACATCAGAAGATTCGAACCTTTTGCACAGCTTTGTTTCTTCGCTTCAACGTCGGTTCCTTTCGCAGTTTGCGGGCCTCTCGCCGCTTCTTCTGTTGGCCCTACCCAAAGGGTGTCGCTCACCGGGGCCCACAAGATGTTTGTGGGCCGACGACACCCTCACACCGTTGGCCGGGTGTGGGGCGCAGCCTTGTTCCCCAATTGAGGAGTTGTCCGGTTTGACTGGTGGCCGACTACACAGTGTATCTCTGGATGGTGGCTCTGTCACCAGACCCCTCTTGAGAGGTCTGTGTGCCACCCCTGGCAACTCAGGGCGTTTGAGGCCAACCTGCCATGGTGATAGGCAGATGACAGTGAGACGATGAGCTAACGTGCTCCACTGGCGCCCTCTGGGTTCCGCCTTCAAGCTGTCGAGAAGTGCGGTTTCCAGCTCAGACTGCAGGAGGGGAGGCCAAAGTTTGACAAAGTGGGTGGAGTTGCAGGAGCTTTATGGAGAATCCAAAGTGTTCCAGAAGTAGATGCGCCTGATTGTTTGTTGGGAATCTGGTTGGTGAGCACGGGGCTGGCCTCATGGGTTCATATTATTGGTCATGGCTTCTCACATTTTGCGTAGCACTTGCGGGAGTTTCTCATTCACAGAACATCTCCCGAAGATTTGCAAGAAGGCTTCAGTCAGGAGTTGCAACTTGTCCAAGCCTTTTGCTCATTCCAGCTTGACTTGGAGTTTCCAACCACATCAAGCATGTGAAGCTTCGGCAGACGTCCGGCGACTTGGTTTCACCTCCGATGTTTCTGTCCGCTTCTTCTGTTGGCCCTACCCAAAGGGTGTCGCTCACCGGGGTCCACAAGATGTTTGTGGGCCGACGACACCCTCACACCGTTGGCCGGGTGTGGGGCGCAGCTCTGTCATAGAGTCGAGGAGGTGCCTGGTTTGATTGGTGGCCCTCACACGGAGCACTTTTGGTGGCTGCAGAGCCCCTGTGACAGGGTCCGTGTGCCACCCCTGGCAACTCAGGGCGTTTGAGGCCAACCTGCCATGGTGATAGGCAGATGACAGTGAGACGATGAGCTAACGTGCTCCACTGGCGCCCTTTGGTCCCACTTTTTGCTGTTGAGAATGGTGGGTTCCAGCTCGCACTGCAGGAGGGGAGGCCAATCTTATTGTTTTCCCTACAAACGAGCATTTCGAGTGGATTGAGTAGATGGAGATTGCCCCCACTTGGAATCGGCTGGACGTCAACATATTGAGGATGCTGAGCGCCCAGATTTGGCTTAATTATTGTCCTCTGGTCTTGCATGGGGAGCGTTGGCCAACAGACCTATATATATATATATATATGTATGAGCTACGACCCTAAACCCCAGCTATGGCATATACTATATTTCAGGATCTGCCGGCTCACGAAAAAAGCCAATTAAGGAGGTAATTTACATGGCTTTGCAACCAATGTCCGGGTGATGTTCTTCATCAACACGAGTCTTGGCCTCCCAAACCTTCGGAAGACTCGCAGGAAACATGGGGAGATGGCCACGGCTACCGGGAAAACGCCCAGTTGTGCAACGGAGCGGAAGACATCAGGCCAATTCCCCCTCAAAAGACCCAGTAAGGTAGAATGTTGATAAATATAGACCATAAAACCCTCCATCCCTGGAGATGTAAACCCATTCTGGAATTCTGGAGATGGGCGGGGACCATCTACATCAAGGTGATGTTCACTCAATCTTCACTCAACAAGCAGTTGCGAAGTGGCTGTCATGGGGAGTTTCCTGCTCAAAAAGAAGCGCGATATCGAACTCAATGTTGCTTCAAGATGAACAACAAACGCTTCATGCCTATGAATATATGAACAGTAGTGAAAAGTCATGACATATCATGACTCATGATGTCATTGGTCATAGACTTTGCCGTCACCCCCCCAAGTCATCGTTTTTCTTCGGACACGACCTCCGCTGTTCCTTCGGTCCGTCGCGTCCGTCGCAGGACCCGATCCCTCTCAACAGCGCAGTGGTCGTGAGAGTTTGGCCTCGGCCCTTCTCGGTGTGGGAGGACAATCCAGAGGATCCGGAGGTGCGGCGCGGCAGCGGCGCGGACCTGACGGTTTTTTTCGGTGCTTTCCCGCGACGGAAGACGGGTGACCGGATCCGGAGGGATCCGGGACCCGGGACCGAAGCAAAGCCGGGCCGCAGGTCCGGCAGGCTCGTCCTGAGGGCGCCTGAAGAGGTTCGACCGTGTCGCGGAACCAGCGCCCCCCAGGACCGGTCGGTCTACTCGTGTCGCTGGCTCTTGGAAAAGTATTTGGCCTATCGAGTGGCAAACCGGGTCGATGGACATGAAGAATTGCAGTCTGCCAAAGTTTCGGATCAGTCCTCCCTTCTCTCTGGCGAGGCCATCGATGGGTATTTCCTGCTGGATGTGAACGACACCAGAGCGCAGGACAGCTGGATGATGGTCGTCCAGGTGAGCGAGAAAGAAGGTCGCCAAGACCAGCCAGCTTTGGAACCCGGCAAACCTGCTCGAATCAGCTCGAATCGACCACTACCCCTTTTTGGGATCTTTTTGGACTGCAAATTGATTCATTGGGCTACAGCGTGGTACCCCATAAATGGGCGAGGCATCCTGTACTGTATGATACAGCGCTGGGATCGGGCAACGTTGGAACACCAGGCACATTAATGTGTATCCAATTTGTCCATGTGTCAAGAGTACATGATGGACCCTTTGACATTGGTTCTTGGATTTTGAAGGTGCAGCTTCAGCAATGAAGAACCCGACGGCCACAGTCGGCCCGAAACTCGGCCTGCTTGGAGTGTTTGAGGCTTACAAGTCAGGCATGACACTCCGCTACAGTAGGAGCGATCGGACGCTACGAACGGGGCTCCTGGCCGTACTACTAGGAGCGATCGCATCGCGACTCGAACGGAGCAACGGGCATCGCGCCTCGAACGGAGCGATCGGACGCGAAGAATTGGAAGTGGAGTTCGCCACACCTGGAAACGGTGTTCGGATGGAACATGGACCATCAAGGACCTCCAGGTAATGGCCGTGCCATCCCATGGCGCCACGTCCGTAGGACCCGGAGGACTGCCTCACCTTCCTGAAAGGCTCGCGTGAGTTGATGAAACGGATGCGGCTTAAGGAACGCCAGGACCGCGAGAAGGGTGGAAAGATGATTTGATCAGTTGAGATGGTGAACTTATTTGAGTTCTCAACTTATAGTATAGTCGTTTATTTAGGAAACATTGAAAAATATGGAAAACCGATTTGATGCACTCTTTGAAGTTGAGATGGGTTGAGAACTCAGGTATCACAGTAGTAGTTACTGTACTCAACCGCCCTGGGATGATAGTCTACAATGCTGGAATGGTCCGGTAGTTTGTGTAAATTATTCAGCTATTCAGTTATTCGATTTGTACTGCAGTACAAATGGGCACCGTCACATCCAGAAAACTGTCCAGGTGGTCGAGTCGTACCTTTTTAGCCGGGCGGCTCCAACTTAGCGAGGCAGCTGTTTCAAACAAAATCTGTTGTACACAGTTGGGTTGTATACTGTTTGTGCATAGACCATGTGACGCTCCGCAAAGGAATTCCTTGTCTAGTTCTGTCTGGATCCAGTTTTGACCAAAGAAGGCTCCAAATACAGATATAACCAGATTGGTTTTTATAGGGACTTCTTCTGCAAACCTGCGACTGGTCTGATTGGTTTTACAGAAGGCTCCAGCTGACCAAAGAAGGCTCCAGACGAGCCGCAGATAGCGGAGCAGGACATCCACTCCATCTTGTGTTTTGAAATGGAACCTGCTCGTTCGGCCTCACCCCTGCAGCTGAATGCGGACCTTCTAAAGCGTCATATATACAGTATATATACCCTGGGAGTCAAAGACTATCAAAAGAATGGTCTTTAGGTGACACGAAAAGGAATATACTTTACTTCAGTCAGTCAAAATATAGTCTTTGGACTTCTAGGGTATATATTATATTGTTTTAAAGGCCGTTTTCACCCCGTGAATCACCCTTCAGCGACCCTGGGTGAAGAAGAACCCTGGCACAACTGGTCCGCGCCCAGAGATTTGTGCCGAAGTTTTTGATCAGTAGGTGAAGAAGAACGACTTTTCTTGGCTCACACAGTGTGCATATTTTTTTGCTGGAAGACTTATACTCCTTCATGTTGAAGCTTTTGTTCCATGATGTATATCTTGTGTTGGGCCCAAGATCGTTGAGACGTCCTCCAATCTCTCAATTCTGGTCATTTCTAGTCAACTGGTGGTGAGCGAGAGACGTCCTGCTGAAGCAGAAGAGGCCCTGCTCGTCCAGCTCGCCGGAAGCTACGAGCCACACGCCGATCTGCGTTTGGTCCGCCATACCGTTTCTCCCCTGGAGAATGAAGTAATTCTGGAAAGGATTTGGGGAAAGAACTGCATCAAACTGCTAAGAAGAGTAGACTCAGTAGACTATCAACTCCAACTGCATAAAATCCTTTGCGTTCCAAGGAGATTTGCCGTTTCATGAAGAAGTCCTGCCTTTCAGAGGTTGCAGGACCACCGCTACGGTGCTACGAAGTGGGAAAGAGTCACCCAGCATATATACTTCGAGTGACCCAGAGCTCCTCATCTGAGAGCTACCCACCTGAGGCTTCGCTTCAACAGTTTGTTTTATTGGGGGAATGAACAAGCTGTTTTAAGGGTCAATGTCGTGGTCAATGTAAACCTTCCAGTCCCGTGGATGGTTCGGGTGGAACTCTGCCAAACCCGGCCACGCGACTGACATGGGCAGCTTAAGCTTGGAATAAAGATGCAGAAAGCGAAGCGAGCTGTGACTGATCTTGGCAGCGAAGCTCGACCAGGGCCTGACTTTTTCTATGTCCGGACTGTCACAGATCCAGAGCCGAAAGCCGAAAGCCCAAGACGCGGGCCTTCGCAAAAACAACGACAAGGTAGTTGTGCTGTTTGGGTCTTCCAAATCCAAGGGCCAAATCAATGGTTGAAACATATTGAAACAGTGCGACACCAACAATCGAACACGCGGTCCACACCAATTAGCACCGTTCTGCCCTGGCTAAGGGTTGTTTTGAGACGAGGAGAACGCAGAAGGAGACCTTGGCATGGCCAGTTTCGAGGAAAGGGACGATCAGCGCTCCTGGGCAGTTCCTGTGGACCGAAGTTGTAGGAGCTTCATGGACATGTGATGAAGTTTTCATGCATGGATCTTTTCCTCGCAGAGGGACTGGTGCCCTGGGCGTTTAGGGATCTTTAGGGGTTATGAGTGGTCTAGTGGATTCACAAAAGAAAAGCACTATATAATGATGTACTTTGCCAAAAAAGGCTTCCATAGAACAGCTCGTTTGACATGACTGAATGATGTAATTACTTGATTGAAGTAGTTGCAGCACTTGGGTAGAAGAGATTTGGTCCATTTACTCCCCGCATCCAAGTCATGTCAAGTTGGTCAGGCCTGGAGATGTAGACGTTTTCGCTGGATTCAACGCCGGCGCTCGACGGAGCTCACCTGCGGAAGCTAACCTGCGGAGCCAAGCTGAGTCAAGCTGAGTTAAGGAAAGAAGGTCGGCCAGCAGGTGTGACTGGCTGCTAGGTGATGTGAAACATGCACGAAGAGCGCTGGGTGTAGAATTGGTGGCAGACCCATTGCTCTGGACCCCCTGAAAGAAGGAACATAGACAAGTCGACCCATTGCTTGGGGTCTCCCGGGTTTCCCCATTACACACCCTTTTTAATTCACTTAGTGTCGGGGCTCCTGTTTGTGGCTCTTTTTCGGGACTGTGCTGGTGTAGATGTTGGGCGAATCTGTACCTGGTAGCTGGTAGCAAGACCCGTTTCTTTTGTTGACTTGCAAGGCTTCCTGGAACGCGGAGTTTTTCCAATGGGACAGAAGTGAGACCGTAGTAACAAGATCAATCCGTACTGGAGTTCTGGCTACTGTACAACAGATGATCCATGCATAGCCGGGGATGGTCTGGGTGCTTGTTTGCACGTGTTGCCGAATTCTTAATCCCCATTCAAGGAAGGACATGTTTCTGTTTTTTTTTTTCTCTCTCTCTCTCTCTCCGACTTGTGATTGGGAGGAATGGTAGGAACATGCATGCAGCATGCAAAACGACAAGCAGAACCAACCCTTCAACTGCGGCATGTTCCATGTTTTCCCTGATCTACTTAGCTGCTTAGCCCACGATCTTCGCCTTCTGCTCTCACGGTTGGGCGTCGGCCGCGCCCTCGAGCCCCCAGACCGCAGCTCCAATCGTGGAGCGAAAAAGGCGTCGCGACGCCGCGGGTCATCGGAGAACACAGCGAGGTCGTTGGTTTCGGAGGTGGCCCGTTTCGCCCCAAGATGTCTTGGCTTGGACAGACGGGGCTGCACCACTAAAACCGCCAAGATCTTGGACAACCGTGCCGTCTACTCCTATCCCGAGGTTTTCTTTGGGGGTGGACCACTCGAGCGGAAGTCTTTGGACCCATTAGGGCCCTCCAAACATCTCCAAACCGTGGTAGAACGGTTGGCGGTGGATTCATCAACAGTCTACATGACCATGAAGCAAATCTATCGGCCTCCAATTTGCGCAACACATACACCACGGAAGACTTATAGCATCTTCATGAGTTGGGTGTTTTGTTTTTTTTCCCGGTTCGCCTTCCTTTCGAGCATCAAGTGATCGCATGTTCTTCACCTGAGTAAAACACTGCATGGTTGTGCGTTTAGCAGCAAATGACAAAACTGTTAAGATCCTTTTCAAACGGTTCAATGGTGGTCAACGGCCATTGGCCATTGACGTCATGTGGAAACGGGCTTCCGTGATTCGATGGCGGATGTTTTGGTCGATTCGATGGCGGGTTTGACATGCTTTAACACCATCAGCCCTCTTTTTGGGGCAAGCTAGCAAGCCAGCAAGCTAGAGCATCCAAAACTTCTGGCGTCTTTTTTCATTGAACGGCCCAGACCAGAAGGGGTTCTGCGCGTCGCCACCAGACCATACGAACAGCCCTCCGAGTTTATAGACTGAAAGAAGCATGGTGACTGGTGATGCTTGGTCTTCAGATTGAACATGTCCATGCCGAAGTCCAAGGCGACGATGTTTGGGACCACCGAAGGGTTCAGAACTTCCCATGAAAGGATCACCGGTTGGATACCTAGGAGCCCATTATATATAAAGTAGTCTTGGACTTCCAGCGCATGCATGGGTGAAAGAATTGCGGTGTAAACACCTGCAAGACTCATGAGTTGTTCCCGAATCCGCCGGGACCATGACTGTGGCCATGCCGGCCATTCGACAGTCAGCCCTCGGTGATGGTTCAGCGGGGCCATGGTTTCGTCCAAGGAATCCCCCGGCCGAGACCTGAAACCCTCACCTCACCGTGGTGCGGTTGGGCCAGAGTGGTGGCCGGTTGAGCGTTTGAGGGTTTGACCAGTATTACTGAGTATACAGCCATTTTCTGGGGCCAAAAAGGCTCTCAGGTGGAGGAATACATGTGCGGGTGGTGCGACTGTGTGCGTTTGAATCTTTCTTTAATCCATAAGATAGCATCTCCGTGCCGGTTTTGAAACCGCGAGGCAAGCCATTGATCGAGGGCCAAGTCAAATTCCGTCACATGTGTTCCAACAAATGAACTTGGAGGCCGCAGTGAGGCCAAAGGCCTCTTCTTCTCCCCTTTCAATCATCTATTAATCATGCCCTAAGGATCCAAGTACCTTCTCAGAAGGCACCTGGACCCTCCAAACCCACCCCAGTCCCACCTTCTGAGAAGGTACTTGGATCCCTATAGGGATCTAACTTGAGGATGTCCGAACCCCCGAACGTTCGCTTTGCTTTGGTCCGAAGCTTCGCTTTCCTATTGCGTCGCCGCCTTCGCAAGGCCATCACCATTTGAGGGATCTCCAACGGATTGCCACCAAACAGGTGGGCGTGGCAGCTCTGCGTTGGCGCACACCCTTGGGTCGGGGTCTCCGGGGTCGAGTGACACTCACGGACGTCGCGAAAGGCACCAACTCGTAGTCCCCTGAAGAAACGATGAAACACCTGGTTTTGCTTTAGGGCGATGTTATTTTCTTTCCCTTTTTGTTCTGGAGACGATCTTTTTAAGTATGCGGTCCTGAGGCAAATTCAGCACATTAAGCGTGATCCAATGTGATCCATATATTATAGGGTCATGTCTTTTCGGAGAGCCATCA